TACTTTTTATGGAATGAACTTGATAGGTTTTGTTTCAAATTACTTATCCTTGGCGATCTTAACCTTATCACCTGTTTCCAACCTCCTACACAATCTTTTGGAAGAACGATTCGTGTTATGCTCAGACTTTCCCTACTTTGAACTGTTCATCTTGAAATCACTCTACGCAATGCAACTGAATACAATTTTCGTCTCGAGATTTTTCAGTTTTGTCACCTACCTGCAATGATCCTGGACGTCAACAAAGATGAAATAAAAAGCGTCCCCTGGAGGCAGGTACTATCAGGACTCGTGCACGTAGAACATCGACAGAGAACAGGGCGCGACTGACAACTGATCGTTTTCATGTCTCGTTCATGGTCTTGCCTCCACGACAATGAACGTCGACGCATTTATCGAATACGTCGAGGGCCGTTTCCTGGTACGTCACCACTCCCCGCAAGTATTTAGTAGGGGGTTTTATCGTCATCGTGCCTTTAATATATACGTTCATTGACCTATTAAAGCTGTACCTGTCGAAACAGCATTATTTTTTGAAAATTCACGGTTTATCGATCAAAATAACGATCAGATTAAGAGGAACAGTAATACGCAATACATATGACATTCAACGATTTTTGACGATGACGCGATTCTTCCAAAATCGAATCAAATCGTCGGATGCAAATGTAAAACTTAACATATAGAATCTTTCAAATTCATTTAGCCATTGCGATATAAACATCCGCACGTACATACCTAAATAAATTCAGAAAATACATATCTTTATAAAAGGTAAACGTAATTAGAGAGTTTGTGAAATGCGTAGGTATGGAATAAAATTTGTTGATCACTCTTGTATACAATATTTTCTTTCCTTACACAACCATTCGTAAATACAAAAGTTACGATATATTTTATTTTACACGTGTAAAAAATTGATCGATTTCCTGAAAGTTCTTGCTTTCCTTTCTATTACCTGTGGCGCCCTCACTCGGTATTAAACAAAAGTAACTTTATCGTTTAGCGATATAAAGATTAAATGTAATTACTACAGTGAAATGGATAATTAGGTAAATCATCTCAACATTTCAAAATAAAGAAATTTCGTGTCTATTTAACTTGATATTTCCAAATTTACCAAACACTACAATATATAATTAAAATTATAAACAATTGAATGTATTTTACCAGCAATGCCATTTACTGTTAGTAAAAATATTTTCTTAAAACTCTGATAAATATTGTACAATAAATTTTACTTCGAAATTTTCCATTTTCATTCGGTTGCAAACATTCTTATCCAGAGATGGTATATTTTCCTTAGTAACCGTGAAATCCACAGAGGGCTCATGATCAAATCGGATAAGTGACAGTTTCGAAAGGACAGTTTGACGTTTGGCGCCGAACGTTTTATTCGCTTGGTGCGTCGCGGAAACATCGTTCTTTTCGATTTACAGTATCGAAAAATCGTTTACGCAAATATCCGCGAATAACCAACAGCCAGCCGTCTTTCAATTTTGTTTACTCGACGTGGTAGTCAAGTTTCATGTGTCGTCGGTGGTTACGACTACTTCATAGGAAACTACGTTGCTATTGACGTAGCAGAAATTGGTAACTATACAGTGCATCTATACCGTGCACTCGACAACGAACGTAACGCGTTTTATATTATGCTTACTTTTATGTCGCTGACACGGTCCGTCGAACCTTGAACACGTAATTGCCTCAAATGGCTTTTGTGTTTTTTCTACGTTGAAGGTGATTTTCGAAAGTCTGGTGGAAGTCAATTGTCAAAAAATCGGGATAGCATTAAAATTCGGCAATTATTTAAATGAATTTTTATTATAATAATACGATAAGTATTAACTAGCAAGCTTAAGTTAGACGAACATATCAGTCGAGTCTTCCAGTTCAAATTATATTTTGTTTGTTTTGTATTTTCGCGAACTCGACCTGTGAACTCCTTGCACCTGTTATTTACATCTCGTTATCCATAACCTCAACTAACATCAACTATTATTTATGGTTCGATTCAAGAACGAATGATCGTAGATACGAATTAATACTGAAATGAAATCGTTACAAGGTACTAAAACCTTGAGAAATGGTTTGCTGCTGCCATTTATGGCGCAAAAGAAACCGGTAGCCTCTGTCTTCTTCTTTGCCACTTGCTTCTACCGTTATGTTGCGTAATCTATGGCAGCGATATCCGAACAGATCTGTTTCGTCCTTCGAGTAGAGATAAGCATATGGTGCACCGCAAAAGATGGATTTGTAATGGATCTGTAACTTACATTTACCACAATTTCAAAACCGCGTGATCGTTTATTAAATACTCCATCGGGTTTCGCAATCAATGGTTAAAATGTTAGGTTATCCGCGTGTGGCTGTTAATTCGAGAATTGCATCGATGCAAGTTTGAATTTGTATGTTATTCGTGTGAATTAGGTTTGGATAAAATTCGAATATAATAAGAGTTTATTATGTAAATGGTTATATGTATATAATTAAGCAATGTCAAGCTCGAGTGGCTTTGACAACTTCTACATATTGAATAGTCCTCTTATTGAACTCAATTGAGCATGGCTGTTGATGGCAGTGGCCTGTGGTGTAACAAGAGCATCGAATTCTATCGTTGCTACTTTGATCCGCAATATGGCGACACTATTCATTGTTACTCGTTATTTCATGGGAATTTTCTTTAGATTTAATTGCAAATATAAATTAGACGAAATATATAATTGGATACTTTCACCGGCACGGTGAACCATGAATTACGACATTGTCCTTGATAGAATCGATCGAAGGGAGAATTAAATGGTTTCATGCCATATGGCAAGTTTTTATTCCTTTATCGGTTATAGAAGAAGGATTTCAGATCATCGTCTGGTCGATTTTACGTGAATACTGATTGTTCATCGATATGTTGTAAGAATCATCGATTATCGTTATTCTAGATATTCTCCGTAGCAACTTGCAGTTTTTGGGAATGTGGCACGAATCAATCAAACTCATTTTTCGGGCCAGATTGTGTCGGTATACAGCGCGCAGCATTATCCGTGTCTACCATTTTTATATCAGAATTTTGTTTATTTCGTTGTCGTGAGTTTGCATAATTCTATTCGTAATGTGATATTTCATTACGTGATAAGATGTTTTAAATAATTACATGAATCAGCAGATTTTTCGCAATGCAAATTCTAAACACCAATTACATAAACTTTTTTTTACAATTCTTTATAATCGGAAATTGCACGAATTCGAAGAACTTCTTCAGCTTTTTGTTTAACTTTAGCAGAACGTCTATTTTGCTGGATAGAATTAAATTTGAAAATAAAAATTCGTTAGATTCCCAAGTAACGTTCGACGTGAGATAACAGCGATTTGAAACGAAGAAAAACGGACAGGTTCGCCGTTTCCTGGGTGTTACATCTGTCTGAAATGACAAAAAACCGGACGCGAGGCATCTGCTCGATTAATTTTTCTGAGAAACCTCGGTCACAGGTGTGCGACGAAGAAGATCGAGACTAATCGCGCGAACGCAGTTTACATGCATGCGAGACCCTTAAACTGTAATTAGTCGATGCGGTTGGTTCAAGCCAGTGATGGGCAAAATCGTAATCGCAAATACGAATACGATTGTAATTGAATGTTTTCAAGTTGTGATTACGATTACGATTGTAATCGCATCTTTCCGAGTTGCGCTTACGAATACGATTAGGACCGTATTTTTAAAGGTTTACAGCCATTGAAATTCTTTACCTCAAAATCGACTTCAGATTCGTGTTCCTCGCCCCCAAAAAGCTTAGAAAACCATACATTCGTCGAAATTAAAAATGAAAAATTTTCAATTAAAATTCGTGCCCATAGAGCAGAGCCTAGATAGGGTAACTTTTTAAAAATTTTTTTATTTTGACGAAAGCATGGTTTTCTAAGCTTTTCAATGTGAGGAACACGAATCTGATGTCGGTTTCGAAGTAAAAAACGTCTATGGCTGGAAACCTCTAAGAATACGGTCGTAATCGCAGAGAAATTTGCGAATACGATTACAATTCGGAAAGATGCGATTACGATTTTGCCCATCACTGGTTCAAGCAACCTCGAATGATAAATGTCAGATCGAGTATATTCTTTGTCCTAAGAATAGTTTAACGAGCAAGTGGTAACAATTTCTCCATGTGTTGGACGAGACGATGTCTGAAACAATGACCCGATACGTTTACTTTTAAAACGTAAATATGATGTAATTGACGTTTATGCACCTTCCAGCACTTTCGATATTTTTTACTAGCGACCGCTCGCATTTTTTGGTGAACGGGTTTACATGATAGCGCAACAAGAACGATCGGGTGAGTCAGCCGTACCGGTAACAGGCTTCGTCTTTCTTTCTCTTTATGCTTCCATCGCTCTTTCGTAGCCTCCCCTTTTCGCAGTCAACCGTGTATTCTCGTCTCTCTCTATCTTACAATTTCCTTTCTTGTTCTTATTCGATCCCGTCTCGAACAGCGATAGATTTTCTTATCTTCTTTCACGCAAGTTTACGAGCAAATCCGTTGCTTCGTTTAGATCAATTCGAATATCGTTTGAAATTTTAATATTTTAATATTTTAGGTTGTCTCAAAAGTTTCTTTCGCTTTATTAATAAGTAATACATGCACGATATTTTATGTTTTACGTTACATTATCGAATTGTGCACGATTCATTTTGCTCCACTACTGTTACAATGTGAATATCTATGAAATTAGATTGTCTATTTATATAAACACGACCACATCAAATAATTGAGTGCAACTCGCGAAAGAAACTTTTGGGACAACCTAATAGTTTGTAGAAATTTGTGTCTGCCACTCGAAGTACGCTAGTGGAAACTTTGATGGTGTGTTTGAACAGACTCGAACCGTTTTGAGTCCATCCCTAGACCTCAGTCAATCCTTTTCCTTCTCCTGCCAACCATGCTTTCGTCTCTCCTTGAAAGTCTCACTCGCTCTTTTGTTTCCCAGTGCCTCCAACACTTTCGAGCGAATCGCACAGGCGACTTTGTTGCTGCGTGCCGTTCGCTCGTGATCGTTCGAGCGACGAGGTTCCTTTGCCGCACGAATCCTTTGTCTTCGTTGCTCACGAGTCACGAATTAGAACTTGATTCGTTCCATGTGGTGAAAAAAAATGACTGGTCAGCGAGTTTCGGGAGATCTGTGAATAGATGTAGTTTCTTGTTTTTGTGAAAATTTAACCGTAACGTCGCGCTATAGTTGCAAGTTTAACAGTGACATAAAAAGCGGTTGTCTAAAGGAAAAGCGTCGAAAAATAGTGTAAGTTCGCTATTGTAAATACAGTACAGATTCAATTTACGACCGTGCCTGTCGTTAATGCTGTTATTTATTCTGTAACGGAACATCCATTACATAAACGCGTGTAAGTGTAGTACGTTACATAAAATTAACTAATAAGCTGGTTCCGGAAAAAGTATGCCGTAACGTCGTCCAGTTAACGAAACGAAAAGCATATCCTATCATCAGACCCGAGCACTTTTCAAACAACGTTATATAAAATATTTTGAGTAACATGTTCTTGTTTCACGGTTGTTTCATTTCTGAAATCCAATCACGTTATTATTTATTTGGAATAGTTATTCGAGACAAAGTATACATCGAGTCCAAACTTTGAAAATTTTTGGAATCGATATTCTTCGTTGCTATTTAAAATACGAACTGCAGTTTTACTGCAATTGATAGAAAAAAACGTCGAACCATGCGTCATTCGCGAATGATTTCGTGGAGATTGTAAGACCGAAGTAAAAGTTTCGAAGAGCAGTTACATGAACCGGTTGAAGGAGTTTTGCCGTGAGATGTTGCATCTGAACGATGTTTCACCTAGAAATGATTCATTCGCGGTATAAGAGTGCCTTGTTTGATGTCTTGCTAACGAACCTTGGCTTTCATCTGTCATTCGTAATGCACACATGGCCGATAAGGGTATAAAAGAAGAGACCGAGAAAAGTAAAAATATTTTTTTAGATATTTTTTTCAAATACAAGTTTTCTTTTGTGACACCAGAGTTTTATTTATCCAGATCGTATAGATTTTCTTTGCACATTCATATGTCATCGGTCTGTTAACAATTTTAGAGATAACCTGTGATTGTACAAGGTTCGATTTACTTAATGGGAGTGTCGATTTTTACTCTTCTTCGTTTGCGATACACTTCGAGTGCGTAGTTCTTTTTTCATTTTTTTTTTTTAAAGAAGTTCCTCTAGATTTCCTGCGTCTTTAATTTTTATCTAAATAAATATCTCGACCGTCTCTGTCAGTAAGTTCAAATTGCGACTAATTGTTTCAGATCCGTGGTAAAACAGAAAAAAAGCTCAAGATGTCCGAGTATTGCGAGTACTTGTGGGACCCCACGAGAGGTCACGCGAGCACCGCATTCGCGCGAAGCATCTACGAAGAGGAAGGTAGATTCGATAAACGTGATAAAAAACTGGCTATCAAGACTGTCAGAGCAATATTGCGAGAAATGCCGGATGTAGGTAAGAAATACTGTCCTTCGTTTTCCAACCATAGCTTACCGTCAAAGATTTAGCGTAAGGGTGAATTACAAACTTCAAGGGTCCTTCAACACGTTGCACGCCACGTCACTCATATATGGGTGACAGTGCTTTTCACTGAAGAAGTAAAAAAATTAATTTTGAAAGTCAAGAATGAAAGGAAATGAATTTGAATGAAATTCATGAATTTTGATGAAGTTACAAAAACAAATACCACGATAAACGTTTGATTATGTAGTCTCCAATATTCTAAATAATATTTAATTATAGCAGAAATTTTCAAGAATATTTATCTGGCAGTCAACGTGTTGAAACAAAAATAGAGAACACGCTCTTTACTGTATTACATGCGAACAAACAAGCCTTTCTATACGATATCGAAGCACGTTGTCTGATTCGTTTTCAACGCGTCGATCTTCGAATTTCCGGCATAATATCCGCGTTCGGACGGCTTCCTGCCAGGTATTTTTTTCACGTGAAGCATTACAATGACCTGCCTTTGCTCCTAGACCTCAAGCATTGCACGGATGAATATATTACGCGTTTCCTGCTGGCTCGGAAGTATCGTACGGAACAGGCTGCTACCCTGATAGCCGCTTATCAGGCGCAAGTAGCACATCGACAAGATATTTTCGGTAATCTAACGGCAAGAGACCCAGCCTTGCAACGCGCGCTACGCGCAGGAATACCGGGTGTGCTTCCTGCGCGCGATAGGTAAGGATAACATTGAATGTTATTTTTCGAATATAGCGATTACTATTAGTATAAAAATAAAATGATCGGAGTTTTTAAACGATATAGGAAAGGCAGGTGTGTGCTGGTTATATTGGCCTCGCAATGGGACCCGATCGCGGTACCAGCGTTATCAGTCCAGAGAGCTCTTTTCTTGGTTCTGGAGACTCTCATACAGGACCCAAGGAATCAGGTTCGTTATACAATATTTTACTATAAATAAATTTAAGTCAAAAACGGAGGATGTAATATGCAATTTTTGATGTTGTATTTTGTAATATATTTTAAGCACCGATCGCTATGAATATACCTTGTGCAGCTATTTAAAGAACAAAGATTTCCAGTGAACTGTAGCTGAGAGCATTCCAATTTTTTTTCTAGCAATCCGGTTTCGTGGCGGTAGTAGATTGGAGCGGATTCTCTTTACGACAAGGCGGTGCCTTGGGCGCAGCGGCACTGCGAAACCTAATAGCTGCTCTTCGAGGACGATTTCCGGCTAGATTCAAAGCTGTACACTTCCTGTCGGCACCTCTCTACGTCCAGGCTACGCTGGCCCTCGTGAAACCATTTTTGGATGAAAAGACTCGAAATAAGGTGGGTTGAATGATATATCGAAGCAAGTCATTACTGTTACGATTATTTACTTCGATATTTGTTTAATACATCAATGCAATGCTTGGAAAGTATATATACTCAGGTTCCAAGTAATACTATAATTCCGTGTATGATCACCTAAGACAGAAATTCAAACACGCGTCTGCATATACGTTTCGAGATACTCAGAGTTAAATATTTACCAAAAGACAATTCGTCGTACTATACTACGACTATCATAAGCTAAGCTCTCTACTACGTCTAGTCATTGATCTACCTTTAATCTATTTATTAATTTCTGCTGAAAAAAATGATTCTAGATCTATTTACACGGAAATAATTTGAGTACCCTACACGAGCACCTGCCTACCGACATTCTGCCAGCGGAATTGGGTGGTACAGGGCCAGCCTTTAATCCAGGACTATGGGCAGAACCAGTTATTCATTCGGCGATGAAGGAAGCTGAGCTGGCCGCGATGAAGAAAGAACAGGAACAAGCTGAAATTGCGGAGAGATCATGCGACAAGACGTTGGTCGAGTCCAGAAACGTAGAGAACCATAAGAGGAACCAAGCAGACTCCATGGAGTCGAGCAATGGTACGACCAAGGAGATTGGACGGCGATTCTTTAATCCGTTTGGGAGTTCTGTAAAGAATCAGTCTACGAAACAACCAGGAGGAACGAATGTAGAGCTGAATTTGATTAATCGCAGTGTTGTGCATATAGAAGAAAAGGAGGACGGAAGAATAGCGAATAGGATGATAATGGAAGACGACGATTCTCATTCTCAGAGTAAAGATAAAATGTTAAACAATGGGAATACTGGTTACTTTGACGACAAAAGAGAAAAAGATAGCGATCTGAAGGATAACTTATTAGAAACCTCGAATAGACTCGACAGCGATGACAGTAAGGACAATTCGTTGGATAATAGATCGGAGAATGCACTTATCGATGCAGGTAAGTGTGAGATGCCTTCCGAAGAAACGAATCTCATAACGTAATGTTGATGATCGTCGAAATGTTAGTTTAAATTAAATTTATCGTCTAGTTAAGCAGAACTTTTAATACATTTAATAATTTTTCATACACCGATTTTGACGAAAGTGAGGAATCAAGTTCAAGGTAGTTTTAGGATAAGCGTAGTAGATTACATTTCGTAGTCTTTAAGGAATACCTTGTGATATGATAAACGTCATTTTTAATGTATTTATATATTCATGAGGCTTTTATTATATTTCTCATAAATAGAGAATACATTCACATTGTTAGTCTACACGCGAATCGAGTTTATTGCATAGAGAACATTTAATACAGCGAATCCATTTTTCATTTTATTTTTCGATATTATCGTAAAACATGAATTCATTTTTATAAAAACGAACCCACTGCCTATTTATAGTATAGTAGACAAACGATATACACATCTAAGGTAATGATGTATATGAAGTAATCATTGTTAATGGCATTGTAAAATAATTCCTGTCCTACTACTTGAAAGTACTTAACATGTAATAAAAGGAAAGCTCGTCGCTCGAATACTTTTGAGGTTCCTCTTTACTCTTTCTTCGATTGTGCGTAATAAACAATTTACAAAGAGTTTTATAACTTGCAATAAGTACTTATAATTTAATAAGTTGACTTTTACCGAAACTTGTGACATTATGAATACGGGCAAAAAATCTTACACATTTTTACATATATTTTTTTTAAACTGTACCGGCGATAAACAATACGTATTAGTTCTGTAAATATGTATTAAATTATTTATTGATATCAAATGTATCATGAAATTAAGGATCTCTTATTACACGTATTACATATTCGAAAGTGTTTTAAACCTTGCGTACTTACAGTCTCTCTCATCTGTATGTTGACCAGATGTTAACAAAAGAGAAGTTACGGTAGAGTAATGGAATATAAATTTATTGATTTAGTACATAAAATATATATGTATACGATTTTAACATCAATTACACACTATAAACATAGAATCTTTTAATACTTTATCACATTACCGAAAGCACCCTGCTACCTTATTACCTTTTCTCTCTCTCACACACACACACACACATACATGCGCTCCCCCTCTTTCTCTCGATTCATATGAAAATATAAAATCCTACACAGAAATCTAAGATGAGGTATATAAAAAACATTAGTCAAATATAATACGATAGTTTGCTTATGTACAAATGTTATTACTTGCATAGACATTAACTGTTGTTACAAAAAAGAACCTTTCAACACCAATCTATAAATATATATAATCATGGAAAGTAGGCGTTCTCTGATTCGAGTTTTATTTAGGATTATGACTCAATTTAATTTACGACTTCATGCTTGATGTAATGCAATTTATATTCATCGATTATAAGATCGATACTGATTTCTCGTATTACGTATACTTACGCCTACAGTGAACATGGTATACTGAAATGTGAACAACTACCTTTTGTATATGTGTTTGTACTGTTCCTTACGATTTTGGGCTATGAAATCATCTGGATGTAAATTATTTGTTGAAAACAAATAATGGCAGGGCATTATTGAGTTTGTATGCATTGTACAATGCATTGAATTACTGTTCAACAAACGGAACTCTCAAGCTAGGATAACAGGTGGAACCCAACCTCCAAAACCTCGTTCCAATTCCTCTGCCACTGCTATCGTTAAGCGATCTTGATATAGGCCACTGACAATCTGTTATAAATACGTTACATGAAAATAGAAACGATATATTTAATGAATTAACAGTGATGTATAAAAATGTGTACCTGTATGCCAATGGGAAGACCTTGTTTGTTCAAACCTAAAGGGCAAGCCGTGGCAGGCAGCCCCAGTACATTAATGATCGCAGTGTATGAAAAGTTGAACGGTTTAATCAGTGGCTCGAAATGTAACGGTGCAGCGGTTGGATGAGTAGGATATAAAAACACACCGTTATCACCCAAGATTTCCTATAATAATAAGGGTAGTCAAAAACATGTCATGGTGAATTGTAAAAAATGAAAAAAATTAGATGCTTCTGATCGACATGCTTCCTAAAAAATTCAATCACTCGTTTCATCGTGACAATAAAAATTATAATCAGGGTTGGGCAGTACATGATTAGTTTGTTATTAATGTTATAACATATGTTCAATACGTATATATCCTTTACGTAAATCGTCAACTATGATTATTGAATACTTAGATATTTTGCCCAACACTGACTATAAGAAATTCACAAAAAGAATGTACTTTTACTAAATTGGATAGAAAAATCGCATTCTGCATGCAAGGCAAAAGCATGTTTCCGTTACTAACTAGGGAAACACGTTATACCGTGTAAGACAGATTAGTAATCTGACCAGTTTGCACAAGCGCGACTCGAAAAATAATTCTCATCCGCTAACGAATAGCACAGTCAAGTACAGTTCCGTAATTCGATTGTGAGAATTAATCGTTATCTTGATATCTTGCGCGATATTGTCAAAAGGAAGACGAAGAAGAAAGTTGACAATTCCAACCCTGATGAGTTACAGTACGGGTACTTAATAAATGTGAAATATCGTGATGATATTTTCTATACAGAAGATAAATATACATTGATATAAAAGATATAAATTTGCAAAATACCTGAAATTCTTGATAAAGGTCCCTACTTTCTTGTATTAGCTTTTTGTGCTGTTCGGTATCCCGTTTCACTCCGAACCTTTCGAATGCAGCAGTAAGGAGAGCTATAAGCGTATGATTGCTCATGAATGTTGCCCATTTTACAAGTTCCCACCAAAGATTTATGTGACCATTTCTATTCGTCAGTTCGTAGGTAAAATCTTTCTTATCCTTGCAACTCATGTTTGCCATCCAGAGGGCGACGCTTTTCTTCATTTTTCTAATACTGAGTTTGGTTGCCCTAGTTTTATGTGCTTTCTCGAGGTAACGAACCACCGCCCTCATGGCATCTCTTATTTCCACATCTACCGGGGATGTTAAAAACTGACCACCGTCGTCTTCCATGTAATAGAACTAAATTAAAGTATACGTTAATTACGTATCATATATAATATCTAGTTACGACTTAAAGGAACTTTCTACCTTGTCGATTCTTACCTCGATTTTAGAAATGTCTATTTTGTCTTCTAACCGTAATTTATCTATGTTCTTATCCGCAAGGATTTTCAAAGTGGGCATCAGGTCTTGCGCATATCTACACATTGGACCAATAGAAAGCAAGCTATCCTGTTCTTTGCTATGAGCACTCGGATACTGGCCATCGTTCGACACTAAACCTTTAGAAGGTTTGTGTCCGAAAATACCATTGAAAAAAGATGGTATACGGATAGAGCCACCGATATCCGATCCTATTCCCATTGGTGACCCAGCTGCTGCTTGTATGCAGCCTTCACCTCCGGAAGATCCTCCGACAATATGCCTTGTGTTGTACGGATTTTTTGTAGTACCATATATGCAATTGCTAGTTTCCCACCACATTGCGCATTCTGAGATGTTTGTCGTTGCCAAAGGTATAGCCCCAGCAGCTTTCATTAGTTTTATAACTTCTGCATCGTGTTTAGCAACAAATTTCTTACGAGCAACTAAACCAGCAGTCTGTTTCATGTTGGCAATTGCAATGCAATCCTGTAAAAGACAATAATATTATTATTTTCGATTACTTTTAAGTAGTTAATAATTGTCAAATTCAACTAGATACTGATAACCATTTGGTATACAGTCAAACAGAAGTTACCTTTGTTGTAAAAGGTACTCCAAAGAAAGGCATTTTTTCTACTAAAACTTGAGGAGATGGAGCATTCTGAGACTTCAGGAGTTCATCACACTTTTTTGCCTCTTTGAGAGCTGCTTCGAAGCGTTCCTCCACTACACAATTTACCACTGGTTGAATTTCTCTTATCCTATCTATATATGATTGTACTACACTTTCTGAAGATAACTGCTTATTTCGAATTTTAAAGGCTAAAGTGGTTGCACTATGTAAAAGTGTTAAATCCTTTATAGGTGGTTGAGACTGAGCAGGTCCCTTTAGGAATGCTATGAACAGATATATTCTCCTAGCAATGACTTCTATCAATCTATGAATTACGCTTAATATTTTTCCTTGGGACTGCATTCTGCTATACGATTTACTCTTTGTTGTCATTTATCTGCAAAGAAATCAAATTTCAATGTATTAGGTACTATCTAAATATTATAACAAAATACAATTACAGTTGAATAATAGACACAAAAAAATAAAAGCGAGAAATGATAAAAAAATTGATCGATTAATTAATAATCAATTGATACTATATGTGAATTACTTGAAATCAAACTTTTGAAACGAATGATTGTATTCACGATTGATCGCTTGAATTAAAACAAGATAAAAAAATTTTGAATGCACGATGAACCTACAGTCTTTGAATAAAACATACATTGTAATAAACGTTATGATAAAATTGCTAAACAATGAATCAGACTTTTGAATAATGGATGAATATCATGATTCATAATCAAACAACCTGAATGGATCATATTGTAACTTTATTATTTTTTTTATAAAATAATTTTATTTGGCACAAAAGAAGTTCTAATTAAAAAAATTTGATTACCTAATATAATTTATTATTGTACGTTTCCTATTTACATTACACTCGTATTATTGCATGCTGGCGAAATATCGGGATATCTTGGGCAAAGGACAGTTTACGTTCGGCAATCTCAGTTGGAATTAACCAATGTCAAACAGATTTATGATAAGTTATATAAACATTTTTATTGTTATATCTTTTAATAGCCTTTGAAAAAGATCATTATTATGCCGATATAACTTCGTAGGAGCGTAATGTTTTAATTTAATTTGCAAAAGATTTGTTGCGAGGCAGATTTATCAAATTGCTGCATAATTTCCACTTGTGTTATCTACATATCATTTTGGTGATAGATTAAATTGGCTGACCTTGGACTGATAATGATTTATCCGAGTTTTTATGGGAGATGCCGGCATTTTATCGATTAAAGCATGAACTACAACCTGCGACCCATAGATCGCGTTCAAATGAGATTATTCAGCAGGCAGACCCCGTAGACATGATAATTTCAAGGCAAATTCCAGGCCAGTATGCCATTAAATGATGCAATTATTGGAGTTACATCAAGGTTGCCAGACAAATACCATGTGAGTTTGACAGTGGTTGCTCGACCGGATGTCACTTACGGTACATTTCAGGGTAGTGCTTAGAGACGATTCATCATAAAATTATCGACATTTCAACTTTACTCTTTCGCGTAAAAGGATTTCCCTCGATGAAATTTAAGGGTAAGTAAATTTTTTAATAATAACATTTGCCTTTTATAGGTCATTTCGCCAAACAAAGAATCCTCTTTAAAATAATTACACAAAGGCCCCGATAAGTATAGATCCGCCACTGACAGTATTCGCTTTGTCGGGCGTTTTCCACCGGTCGGAACGTCGTCATCGGAAGCTTCTCGCGATGGCCATGATGCTCGCGGTCTTAACAAAAGAGAAATTCTCTCAATCGATAAACAAAATGACGAAAAAGATACATTTCCAAGCGCGATCGAAACGATTCGTTGAACGATCGACAAATACGATTCACCGATCGCGAACCTCACGTGTAACGGTTCTGCGAACGTGTCCTCTTTCGCTTTCCGTCGATGAACGATTTACGATTTAAAATATTGAATGAATTTTAAACGTTTGCCCGAGAATTGTCAAACTAGTAAATCACCAATCGATAATTATACCACGATAATA